CTTTGTAGCTTTCCACATAACCTTCCCTCTTTTCTTTGATTGCCTCAAAAAGTCACGGTTAAAAAGACCTACCACATCTTGAGGGGAACTCCACCTACAACCAAAGAGAAGACAAAAAGAATCCCAAACATGATGCACAAAAGAACAAGATAAAAAAAGGTGTGTCAAGGTCTCACCGCTTTCCTTACAAAGGGAACACATGTGAAGAGAAAGGCAAGCAAAAGGCCTTCTTTTCTGCAGCATATCACACGTATTAACCTTACCAAGGAAAATTTCCCAACAAAAGGCTTGAATTTTTGGGGGGGTAAGCTTACTCCAAATTTCTTTTACAAGGAAGTCCCCAACCGGGTTGCTAGGTGAGGCAAGGACATTAAAGAAAGAGGAACAAGAGAAGAGGCCATATGTAGAGCTTTTCCAAATTCTTGAATCTTCCAAGGATGGGTCCAAAAGGACTTGGATGTTGGTACATCATTTGAATGGCTGAGATTAATGCACTGGTCTTAAAGAGACCATTTTGATGGTTTGATCTTTGGGTTAATTTGATATGTCGTTTACATGGCCTGTATTTTTTTTTAAATTCGAGTAGTTTGGTATATCATTTATCATTTCCATACCCTAGATTACTGTGGGCCATTGCAAATTACGTGGATTTTCAAGATTACTTGATCCGTCTTGAGGAACGAGTTTAAAATTGTATTCACCACAAAAAAGAAACTTTGAAATTGTCCTCTAATGACAAGGGCACATTTGGGATTTTAGAAATGTTTAACAATGCAGTTATGCACATGATGTGCATATCAACTCCTTTGATGGATGATGATGAAGGGGTCACTTGTCATGATATGAAAGTACGAGGGGCTAAATGCCACAGAAAAAGGGTAAATTACAGACTGCCACCATCTACTTAGGGAGTGGTGACACTTAGCCCCTCAAACTTTGTTTTGCAACAAATACCCTTTTGAACTTTTGATTTCTGCACTTTGCTCCCTATTCCTTTAACAGGGTTGATGGTGGTAAAGTTACAAAATTTCCCATTTAAGATTCAGCAGGCCACGAGCAAAAGCTATCAAAATGATGATAATGGGCATGCTAAAGCACAATTTATCTTTTTGGTTGGGTTACTGTGTATAACGAAAATGTATCATTTGCTTGACTACAAACTTTAAATACCTGCTAAAATAAAATACCAAATACAAAGGAAGAAAAAGGTGCTTTTTACACATTTGGAATTTTCTGTGGTGCGATATAACATCTTTGGTGGCCTAGGTGATGCATGCTTTTGTTCATGTTCTCAATAAGCTCATTCCTAGGCGGATTAATTTGCAGATAATCAGGGTTCTAGTCTTTAAAACTTTTCTATTTGGGCATCTTTCCATGGGGATATTTCTTCTCATATACACATAAACATGTGATCAAGAGCCTAGTGTGTGGTGGGAATTGGAATTCTTAATTGTCGAATAGCTTTCCCCATTTCTTTCTAAATCTTGATAATCATTTAGGGTTTTTCATGTTGCAGATTAGTGAGAAAGGACCCATAAGAGACTACATGGGCCGCCCTCTAATGACATTAACTAATGAATCCAACCCATGGTGGTCTGTTTTTAAGCAAGCTATAATTGCAGCTGGAGGAAAACTTTCTAGACCAGAAATTTTGGCTTCGACAACTGATGCAAGATACATGAGACAGATGGGAATACCTACTCTCGGGTTCTCCCCAATGATAAATACTCCGATCTTACTTCATGAGCACAATGAGGTTTGACAATTTTACCAATATATTTTTCCTTTTTGATGATTCAATTAGTGTTATTTTTTTCGGCGCTTCCAGTTCCCATGTAACTTTATTTTATTTCTAACCATTCACTGTTACCAACTTTTCATGCAGTACCTGAAAGATTCTGTATTTCTGAAAGGAATTGAGGTATATGAATCCATAATCAGTTCTTTAAGTTCTTTTAAAGGAGGTTCAGTTGAGGCCTCAACTCAGGTTCAGTGATTGGTATGTAAACTGAAATCCTTGTTGTGGTGAGTGTAACTGTACTGCACCTTAAACCATCTGTAATTTGCCTGTGCCTCTATTGCTAATATGGATGAATTACCTATCAATTAGTGAATAATAAAATTAGCAGCATATAGTTCTTCAGGCATGCTTAAAATTTCATTGTTCTTTTTATACAAGTTCTATCGAAAAATGAAAAATGGTCTTCGGGTGCATCTTCACTGCAAAGCTGTCAAGGCGATGCCTAGGCAACAATGCACCCTTGGAGGCTCACCTCGTCTAATCATCAAGTAGTTTTGTACTTCTTATTATAAAATACTTTATTCTTTATATTTTGAGATTATAGTTATAAAGTAGATATTTTTAAACTAAAATATTCATTTTGTGTGTTTATATACTAATTTCTTTTTATTATTTTCTTATTTGTTGGGATTTAATCAACACAAACATTGCTAAATGCTGTATTGAACCTCAACAACTAAAACCTAAACCAATAAGTAATGTAGAACTTAAAATTTTGTCTAATCAATACGTTTTCTTCTTTTTCTACTTTTCTTCCATATTTTCATGTCTTCTACTTTTTCCTTTCTTCTTTTACCGTAACAAAAACAAGGGTTCAGTAGACCTGGCAAAAGGTTGACCCATCCCGTGAACCCGACCCAACCCAACACAAAAAAGGGATTAGGGTCTCATATTTAGCTACCTGAATCCGAGACCAACCCGACCTGACCCAGGAAAAGAATGGGTTGGGTTGGGTCATGGGTCAACTCGATAACCCGATTGTTAGGTCTAATTGGGACTATTTATGCATTGTTAGAAGTTTCCACTCTTTAATTTTTACTATTTAGTCTATACTCTTTATTGTTTACTTTTTGAATTGTTAAATGTTCAAGTTTTTAATTTTATATTTGGAATTTAAGGTTAATTCCTTTAATTTTGGCATTTTTCATGTATCTTTTCTTTATTTTTAAATTTCAATTATTTTTTGGGATGACCTGAATTGACTCATGGGTCAACCCTAACCGGAACATTTAGGGTTGTCTAGCATTTGACAGCCCAACCTGAAATTCAACCCGACTTGAAATCAACCCGAAGTGTCTTGACCTAACCCGAACCCGACCCATCCAATCCAATTGCCAGGTCTAGGGTTCAGCCCCTATACTTTTTCAATTTTCTTTTTTCTTCTTTTTCTACTCATGAATATGTTGATTCTCTATACTTAAGCATGAATTCTAACTTTTCTTATGAAAATTATGAATAATTATTAAGGAAATATGGTTATGGTACCTAGGAAACTACTCTAGGATCTATTTTTATTACTTAAAAATATTCATCGCTTGGCATCTAGGTGACAAGGCCCCCCCCCGCGGAGTCGCCTAGCCTCGCCTTGGCGCCTTGAAAACTATGCTTCATTGCTCGTTTGGTTGAGAGGTAGGGGTGAGCAAATAGTTTATTTGGTTAAAAACTGAACTGAATAAACCGAAATTTTAAATGAAAAATCGAACCAAAACCAAAATATTGAAAAACTGAAACCGAAACTTTCGGTTCGGTTTTCAGTTATTTTGGTTAAAACTGAATTTCAACACTATATATATTTTAGGGTAAAATACAAAAAACCTTGAAGTTTCTGACAATCATAAAAACCTCCCCTATAGTTTCATTTTAGCAAAAACCTCCTCTTTATTTTTGAAAAATTCAACAAATACCTCTCTTCCGTCAATGACCAAGACAAAAAACGTTAAAGAGATGACTTTTTTTCAAAATACCTATTTTACCCTTTTATGAATTAATGTGCATCTATTTTTACTAAAATAGCTTCGAACACTATTCATCTTCTTCCTCACCATGCATAGCGACAGAAGACTGTTCGCTGTCTCATGGGCATTCCTGATACATGATGCAATCATCCTCCTCACCCTCATCAGCATCTCTTTTGTTCCTATATAGAATAACCCAGATGCTAAAAACCAGGAAAACAAAAAAGAAAGCTCCAGGACTGGATCCTAAAATGATTGTTGTCCGGGTTGTTTTCGTTTTTGATGGGGATTTCTGCACCTTAATGAAGGCAGATGCACTATAATTAGTGATTTTCTTATTGTTGGCCATGAGGGAGAAGACTTGGGCTGGTAAAGAGCAATTCCCTTTGAAGCATTTTCATAATACTGAAAGAAAGCAGTTTCGCAGGAACAGGACTGTTTGCAACTCTCCATACTTGTATCTGTAATATCTGGATAGTAAGCAGCATTAGTGAAGTAACGTCCTCTAGAAAACTGTGAAATTGAGAAGATTGACAAGACAGAGGAGTAATTTCACAACACCCCTGATCTGGTTCCCTATCATCTAATGGCATAAAATAGCTTGTTTCCCCATCAGTTCCTTGTGGACAAGTACACAGCCCATTTGAGCAAATACTGTAATTCCCACAGATCGCGAGTTAACCACACTCGCGATAATCCATGGTTTCTGTAAGCACATCTTTCCATCTGGACGGAACCACAGGAACGAGTCTGAAGGAGAATTTCCCGTTATCATTTCATTTGTCTTCTTTGAGTACAAAGTAATACTTCTTTCAGGATCATCACATAGCTTAGTTTGCCAGCCAGCGAGTATTTGAAATAGACCTACGGAGGATCCGACTCGATGAAAGCAAACACACCTTCACTAGTAACAGAGAGTGAAAACAAACCTCGACTCCAATCCGTCAGTGAGGCCCTTGCTGTGAGTCTCTGCTCAGGAACCAAGGTGTCTGTTGGGTGATCAAAAGACTGCCACACGGTTCGGTTGTTTCTGTCGAAGAGCACGAGATTTCCTGTCTCGGTCAAGTTCATGCCGGCGACGGACTTCCCAACTCTGTTGGTTGACCAAACCAAACTACCATCAAAGTCTCACAAGATCAAATCTCCATCTGCAGTGAGGTTCAAAGTTGCATTGGCTCTAACAGGGTTGTTACCGTTGGCAGACTAGATTACTTTAGTGAAGTCTATCCCATCCATGGTAGACACGTTGGTGATCGGGACAATGAAGACAATGAACAATGTTCTGCTGTTGTGCATCGTGGGGAAGAAGATGAACAGTGTTCGAGGCTGTTTTAGTAAAAATAGATGCACATCAATTCGTAAAAGGGTAAAATAGGTATTTTAAAAAATGATCATCTCTTTAACATTTTTCGTCTTGGGAAAGGAGGTATTTGTTAAATTTTTCAAAAATAGAGAGGAGGTTTTTGTATTTTACCCTATACTTTAATATATATTGTAATGTATATTTTAATATATAATATATATTATATATTAAAAAATGTATATTATACATGTATATAATAAATTATATACTTTAATACATAATATATATATATATATTATAGATAATAAAGTTTGACTAAATTGATTTTTTCGGTTAACCAAATTTCTAAAACTGAAAACCGAAACCAAAATCTTACAAAACCAAAAAAACCGAACTGAAATGACCAAAACTTGAAAAAAACCGAAACCAAAATTTTAGGTTCGGTTTTTCAATTTTAACTGAATAATGCTCACCCTTATTGAGAGGTATTGGGTACTCTTTTTTCCTTGTGGTGAAAAATGGCAAGGGATCTAGAGTGTTCGTTTTCGAAGCCCAATTTACGAACACTAAAGCGGGAACCCGAGATACTATGCTAATTACTCATGACAGCTACCAAAAATGGTGATTTAAGTAGCACACTCACACTAAATATCCTGTAGTTTAATCGATTCCGGATCTCTTGCCCACGAGAATTCTGCTCACACTTACCCATAATACACTACACCTCGTGAATTGGGAACATCTCCCCTGCATGATACTATGCAGAGGATGAGATGTTCTCCGTGTATGGCTGAGATAAACGTGGGCAGAATTCTCGTGGGTAGGAGATTCGGACTCAGTTTTATGCTGTATGATCTATGGTTTGTTTTAGCTACTATCCTGTTTTTCCTAAACAAATGTTAGGCCTACTTGCATAGGCTGGAAGATCTATCCCCTCTTTTTTGCGATCTCTGGTGCTCTAGGCATTTGCATCTCTGACATCCAACAAAAATTCATGTTACTGAACAACTATGAAGTAGTTCAGTGCAGAAGTTTAAAGCAAGGATGGTTTGGACAACCTCCATTGAAGGATTTGTGAAAGACTGAAACTATACTTCGATGGGAACAGTTAAGGCGGCCCAGGTCCATCTAGAATAGGAGGGGTTATAACAGACAAGGAAATTTAAGAGCACTCTTTTCAGGACTAATGGGGAATAGAGACTCTTTAAAAGTGCCCACATTGCAAAAGAGACGGTTTGGAGAATTTGGTGATAGAAGGGGGTTCCAAAGTGGTGATGGATTGGCTAAAAGAACCAGATTCAATGATTTGGTGTTATAGAAATAAAATGAAGAAATTCAAATGGTTAACAGAACAGATGAATGTAACTATACAATGGGTGGAAAGGGAGGCCAATGTTTTTGCTGATTCTCTAGCTAAGCAAGGGCTAACTAGGGACCAGTTGTACTTGGTCCATTTGTAATTTTAGTTTTGTTTCTTTGTTAAAGAGTGAGGCAACACCTCGCGCCTCACATTGGGGTGCTTGTAGCAAACTTACATCCTTTGCTTCTAATGAAATTTAATGAATCTTATCTATCAAAAAAACACTATGAAGTATCAATATCTATTGTAGGTGGTTGTCTGGATGTCGTGTATCCTGAGCAGCTGACCTGCAAACTTGGAGTACGAAAGCTCAATTACCAAGTTAACGCAACGGGAGACAAACTTAAATCATCAGCCACAGGATATAGGATTGGAGCTTTAGCTTACTAGAAGCCATTTCTGATTAACAGCATATTTGTATTCAACAGCACTCCAGCAAATTAGCAAACATGTGTACATCTTTGAGTGCATCTTATTGAGAGTTGGCTTGTTGACCAGGAATTGAGATGGTTCCTTTTGCTTTGGATGTGCAATAAAATTCAAAGCTGTTCTGCTTTGGAAACTGAAGTAACAGCTTTGTTGGGAGAGGCTGAAGTTTGCCCTGGAGGTTGGGCTACACTCAATTTCAGTCGAGAGTTCCTCTTGTTGTGGTTAAAGCTCTATGGAGGTTGATGAGACTCCATGATGAATTAGAAATCTCAATTCCGGTTGTAGAGCTATCTTGAGAAAAATTTCCC